AGGCATTGGCTGCTCGATATTTAGAGAATAGGCATTGGCTTGTCCATATTTTGAGACCAGGCATTGGCTGATTGCCAAAAAGAGCTGCCCAAGGTGGGCGGGCATACAAATTGCAAGTCATGCCTATTGGAGTCAAAAGGTACACTTGAATTTTGTATGTGCGATGAAATGGAGCTTGAATCGCGATGGTACCACTGCCAGTGGGACGCCCGCGACAACGAAGCGGCCATTGATCGCGCCTTTCGAGCGTCGAACTTCCCTCTTCCTTTTTCCTTCTCCTCTTCGATTTTAAAAGGCACAAAGTGTTAACTCCCCACATCCTAAAGGGTACTCGCCATGACATGAGTAGCGCTAGTTATTGTTAGACGCTTCGTCGTCGTTGTCATTGTCGTCATTGTCGGGGTTGTCGTCTTCCTTGTCATTGTCATCCGAGCTATCGGAGCTGTCCGAGCTGTCCGAGTCGTTGTTGGCGTCGTTGCCGGCATCGTTGTTGGGACTGGCGTTAACGTCGGCGAGGGACTCTACTCGGAGACGAGCGGCACTGTCGAGCGCAGCTTGTTGGACCGCCAAATGGTGATCAAGGCGATCAAAGACCTTCGTCAATGATGCGGCGAGTTCCTTCTTTACTGCAAGCTCTTCAATCGCGCGCCGCTCGGCCAAGACGAGAGGCGCCATAAGGTGGCGATGAAGATTTGCCGTCGGCGACGACCCTGCCAAGCCCTTGAGCACTCGGTTGCGCTCGAGGCGCAATCGCATCAATGTAAAGAGCGGGGTAGCGAGGTTCTCCGCCCGCGCAAAGCCCAAGACGGTGTAAAGTTGCTCGGCGCCGACCAAGTGAATCGTATCCGGGCAGTCGGGGCCGCGGACGAGCTGTTGCTTTGAGACGTAGGTGGCGCTCTGGCCCAGCTCAAGCAGGTGATGATAGTCACTCACCATCACTGTCTTGACGTTGAACGTCCGGTCCGGTGCGTGGAACTTCACGACGTGGTGCCCGTACCTCACGATGTCGCGCGACACGACCGTACGCGACACGGACGACGCGTCGATGAGGAAGCTCGTGTGCTCCTCGGCGATTTCCGGCGTCCGGACCAGCGCGTCGTACAGCTCCTGGAGGAGCTCGGTCGGAGAAACGACGGGGTCGAAATTCACGGGGTCCTCGTACAAGTTGAGGAAGGCGCGGCGGCCATGGCGCTGCACATGAGCTTCTTCGATGATCCTTCGAAGCGCACCGACGTCCAGGCAGAGGCTGCGGCTTGCGTGCCGCGGTGGGGGGATCACGTGGTCTTCAAGCTGCACCTCCATGGGCTGGGCACGATCAACCCAAATCGAAAATGTGCTCCAGTGCACGTGGCGGTCCCAGCCGTATGGTGTAGCTCAACGACTCTGCGGCTTGAGCCAGGTAACCTTACGTACATATCCAGCGCTCGATCAAAGCGCTTGCCACGATCGCAAAACCTTCTCGAACGACAGTCCGAGTGCCACACGACCATGTGCCACCGCGTCGGCAGTAGCGTGAGTGAAGGTCTTGTGCCGCTTGGTTCCTAAGAGTGTGTGCTACCCATTGTGATTGGTCGAAAATGAACAAAGATCCAACGAAAAGCGTATCTTTATGAACACCGTCTTTACCAGAATCTTGCTTTGCTTGGATCTCGCACTGCCACGTCACGGACGACGTGCGGTCGAATGCCGTTCGCTGCCACCAAGTGGTTTGGAGGTCGGGAGGAACAGGTTCATGGACGATACTCACATGCTCGCAGTTGTTGCATTCAGTGATGACGAGGGTGGCTCGCCTTCCGACCAGCTTTGAAGAACCGCTTCTGTGATCTGCGACTGCGGCGCAATGTACTTCAACGTACGGGACGACGTGGCAGCCGCGTGGCATCGACCTTGAAGCTGCCTACAGCGAAGCTGGGGTCCTCGACCCAACCCCACCAGTTCCATTGTCTACGCTAGAGTACACCGTGGTAGAGTCGAAACCTAGCAAGAACCTGCGCCAATGAATTTGAAGTGATGTACTAACTAAGCTTACTATGACACTGAACACGATGCGACGATGCGACTATCTGCCCAACTGTCCTGATGCCTACGTGGTTGTGGTCAGCGACCGTCCAGCAGATATACTCCGTGACGTGGCACTGTCAGATCAAGAGACAGCAGCAAGGCCATCACTTCCCCATCGTTCGTACCACATTTTGTGTGGCGACAGATCCCAATGTCGTCGGCAGCGTCACAATCCTAGTACGTAGCTATCCGTGATGTTGAAGCTGCGGGTCAAGGAGTCCCGTGGAGAGGGTGATCGTCGAAGCTTCGCTTCGTCCAGAACGAGTACCGCGCCGAACTCGACGTTGCCCGCGACGAGCTCCGGGTGCTCAAAGAGATCAATGCAGAAATCGACATCTTGGTCGACGCCCGACGTCACTCCCACCCTCATCCGAGAAGCGTGGCGCAAACTTGAGTTTCGTCGTCTCAGAAGCGCTTCAATGCATTTCACTTTTGTGTTTGACTCCAGTGCCTCATTCCTCAACATAGTAAATGCGCCCTGCAGATTCAGTCGAATGGTTTTGGCGCCTATTCTTAGCCGATTTCGCTCCGCCTTATGGTGTCGAGGTCGCTGCGCCTTGCTGCGGCAGGCGCGAGCGTCGCTCTCGCCCAAGACAACGCAGCGTATTGCACTGATGCGACGCTGTTGCAGGTGCATCTGCCGCTCTGCCGCAGCGTCAACCTGCCCGCGTGTAGCCTCGCATCGGGCTACGCGTTTGGTGCGAACAGCGGTACGCGACCATCTCGACTCGATCGGTACCGAGCGTTCTTCTAGAGTTTCCCAGCCAGCACCAGTGGAGCGTCCTCTGTCAGCACGAAAGCTGCCAGACGCTCTTCCTCGAGCTGCGCCAGATCCAGTTTCCAGTCGCGTGCCGGTACTTTGGCGTCGACAACCCCAAAGTCGACTTTGTCGGCAACTACTTTGGCTCGCTCTGCGCGCCCTTTCACTACAATTGACGATGTCAACGTCTTGCTGTAATCTATCAAGTTGATGTTTTCTTCCTATTGGGGCAGGCCAAAGTAGAGTTTGGCGTCTTCGCGCGGCGCAAGGGCTTGAATGGCCACGTGCGACACGTTGAGCTTCTTGGCGTCGACAACGGACGCGTCATACGAGCCAATGACGCGGACGACATCACCTGCTCCTCGTGGTGAGAGATCTAAGTGAAGATCGAGTGCGCGAACCTGCACGCAAGTGGCGGACGAGGCACTGCGGGATCGAGTACTGGCCCTGGACGAGCTCCATCTTGTTGAGGACAATCTGGACCATCTCGCCAAGAGGCGTTTTCATGTCCGCGAACGTCAGGTGCTTGTGCTTGATGCGCAGGCGGAGGAGCTCGCCCGTGAGCTACATTTTGTAAAGAAACTGTCTTGAAAGAAGAGGTACCTCGACCGCGCCAGGAAGCAGAGGACCGTGGGTGCCATAGACAGTGCTGATATCGCGCGAGACGGCGTCAATGGACGGGTAGTCCTGCGACGTGTCCTTGGCGGCCCTGCGTGTTTCGTCAACGACGATGTATGTACCAGCAAGTGCCTACCGCATCCAGCCACAGAGCGCGAGCGACGCATGGTTTTCGAGCTTGAACCACTCAAACTGCCAGCCCAAAGACGCACTAGGGGGTAATCAGACGCGCATTTCGTCCGCAGCGTCGGACGTAAAACGTACTGGGTAAAGTACGCGGCGCCCTTGAGCTTGCGTCGGGGCGTAAGCGAGATAAAGCCGGCGTGGGCGTAGCGAGCGTCGACGCGCGACGACGCATATTGGCACACGGTCTGCACGAACGCCGACGCTTGACGCGACTCGATGCTGAAGAGCAGCTCGTGGAGCACACCAACATCGACGACGACGTCAAAGACTGCGTCGTCCTTGGCGACCGCACGGACGTCGAGGTGCAGCGTCGGGTACGTCGACTGCAAGTGCGACGCGAACGTACCGGCGTTGTCGCCGAGGAGGCCCACGCGGCACTGGGGCAAGAGAAACCTATACGCGCCGTCGCCCCTTGCTTTAACTAAAAGCCGAGTCGTACCGCTGCAGGAGGGTTGTGGCCGGCGCCAAGACATCGAAGATGGCCTCGAGTGACGCAGACGACGCGAGGACCTTGTCAATGTATGCGTCTTCGGGTCTCGCTTCGAGCACCGGCGTCACGTACGTCTTGACGACGCAGCCCTTCATGGCCTGCGCCGACGGGTTGACATCCACCGAGGCGACGTTGGCCGAGCGATCGCCGACCCAGAGCCGCAACTAGAGAACCAGCGTACCATGGAGCTACGAAGCAGACGTCCATCTCTCTACCTCGCGGTGGTCGGAGAGGATGCTGAAATCGTCAAACACAATGTCGGGCGGTCTACAAGGCATGAGAGAAGGACCACGCGATATAGTGCCTACCGCTGGAAGAGCACTTCTTGTTGGCCATACCAGTTGCAGCTAGTTCAAGTCACGATGAGAAGATGCAGCGGAATATGGGCTAGCGTACCAGGGCAAGGTCACGACGCCGACGATGGACTCGGCCTCGATGGACGAGAGCGCCTGGTCGAGCGTCACGTGGGCATGCACGAGAAGCACGATTGCGCGCCGGAGCTTGATGCGAATGTCTTCGATCTTGGCGCGGATGGGCACGACCTGCTGGATGCCCTCCCAGGGCACTGGCGCGTCCGGCGTCGAGAGACGCATCTCGGGGTCCACGCTGTAGCACGTCCAGCCCTTGGTGCGGTACGCAAACATGACGGCCGTTCGCGCTATATGCCATGAGCTTCCGGGAAGACGATGGGAAGAAGGCTTGTACGGGTCGAGCCATCGCCGACGACGACGATGCCATCTTCGGCCGGGTTGCCTTCGTCAATGTCGAGGAAGCGGCGCGTGGCGTTGAAGAGTCCCATGCTCTAATGCACCCAGTAGGATCATCGTCCTCACGAGATGCACTCGTACCTCAGTCACCTCCTTGGCGTCCGGGAAGATGCCCATCTGCAGAAGGTTCGGGGCGCACTGGAGCTTCCCGACGAACTCGTTCATGTAGCGCAGCGACGTGGGCGCATGGCCCTCCGACTCGGTCGGCAGCACCCAGTTGGACTTGGAGAGATGGCGGTTGTCCGTCGACGTCTTCCCCGACAGCATCTTCTTGCTCCACCCGGCAATATAAAATGACAGAGACCTACGTTTTACCGCCGTATTTGATATTCAATATATCGCGTTTAAGAGGATATCAATAGCGGCAGAGTTGAAGCTACCAGAATCGACGCCGTCAACAGCTCTGGCGACCTTCGTCTTGACGGTGTGGTGAGGGCCGCGCGCAGGTGCTTCTGGCGCCGCTGCCGTCGGAAGACGTGGCCGCGCGGTATAGTACCAGGTAGTACCGCCGAACGCCGGTGTTTTATTTTCGGCACATGCCGAACGGGACCACACCACCCAAGCTCGCGGGTTGAGTCGCGTGCATTGATTGGCTGGATTCGAATTGGCCTTTTGGTTGGTGAGCCAAATCCGGTTCTTATGCCCAAGGAGAAGAAGGCGACGAAGGGCAAGCGCGCGTGCGCGCTTGAGAAGCAGCTCGCGTACGACGCCAAGCCCAAGTACAAGGTCAAGGCCGCCGGCTCGGACGAAGAGGGCTCCTCGGACGACGAGGGCGACGCCTACGTCCCGCAGAAGCTGACGAGCAAGACGCTGGCGTTGGCGCGCCAGCAGCAGGCCGAGGAAGCCGCGCTCTACCGCAAGCAGACGCCGGCGCGCCAGACGGCGCCTGCGCCGATGGCCGACGACAGCGACTCGGACGACGACAGTGACTCGGACGATGGCGGCTTCAACGACATGGCCGACGACGACGACGACGAGCTCGTCCGCCTCAACAACGGCTACGTCGAGGACGTCGAGATCTGCGAAGAGGACGAGAAGGTGCTTGCCAACTTCCTCATCGGCGGCTCGGAGCGCCGCAACCTCGCCGACATCATCATGGGCAAGATCCACGAGAAGGAGGCGCGCGAGGCCGGCGAGATTGACGACGACGTCCGTGGCCAGCCGCAGCAGTTTGACCCGAAGATCGTCGAGGTGTACACGGGCGTGGGCAAGATCCTCCAGCGCTACACGAGCGGGAAGCTCCCGAAGGCGTTCAAGATCATTCCGTCGCTGAGCTACTGGGAAGACATCCTCTGGCTCACGACGCCCGACAAGTGGTCGCCGCACGCGATGCGCGCGGCCACGCGCCTCTTTGCGTCCAACTTGAACCCGAAGATGGCGCAGCGCTTCTTCAACGTCTTCCTCCTCGAGCACTGCCGCCAGGACATCCGCGACAACAAGCGCCTCAACTTCCACTTGTTCATGGCGCTCAAGAAGGCGCTGTACAAGCCGCAGGCGTTCTACAAGGGCATCATCCTCCCGCTCTGCGAAGGCCGCGACTGCACCAACCGCGAGGCCGTCATCATCGGCTCGGCGCTCTCCAAGGTGTCGGTGCCGGTCATTCACTCGGCGGCGGCGCTCATGAAGCTCGCGGAGCTGCCGTACTCGGGCGCCAACTCGGTCTTTATCAAGATTCTGCTCAACAAAAAGTACTCGCTCCCGACGCGCGTGATTGGCGCGCTCGCGACGCACTTTGTGAGCTTTTGCAGCGACGACCGCGTCATGCCTGTGCTGTGGCACCAGGCGCTGCTCGTGTTTGTCGAGCGCTACAAGAACGACATCTCGAAAGAGCACCGCGAGGGCATGAAGCTCCTTCTCAAGACGCACGTGCACCACCAGATCACGCCCCTCGTGCGCCGCGAGCTCTTCAACGAATAGATATATCTACTACGCTTCTAATCATACCACGGCGACTTGATAGTCGACCATGGTGTATTTACACATCCGGTCACTCTTCTCTGTTTCGATCTAGGGTTAGGGTTAGGGTTAGGGCTGCGGCTAGGGACGCTAATGACTGAATGCGAGCCTTGGAATACAGCGCGTACTACTAACGAGTCTTCTCTCGTACACACTCTACCGGTCGAGGTGCAGCAATGAAGAGATAGGGAATGATATGATGAATCAAGTGTTATATAGTTCTCTTTATATATGTTGTCTAGATGTGTCTACCACTGCTCGT